ACTCCCATAAAGATTTACACCCTCGGAAACCCTGTACAGGGTCGCTATGGGTCGGAACCGACTCGATGGCACTCAACAACAACAACAACAACAACTCATTCATATATATATATATATTTTTTTTCTTTTGCCCTAGATAAATATTTGTATCTTAGATAGCCACTTTCAAGCTTTTAAGATCCCAAATGCAATAGAAACATAAGCTTTATAGACCATGTTGTGCCAAATGGCAGAGTTGCCCCATGAGAGTATAGTCCTAAGCCTTCAAATCCAGTAAAACAATCCTCTCGGAGTTTGGTTATATCTGGGAGAGAACCATAACTGTATACCATTTGCGCCTTATTATATATTAATATATCAGGAGCATAATGGCTTTAGAGGATAAGCGCTGGGCTGTGAACCACAAAGTCATTGGGTTGAACCCACCTGCTGCGCCATGGGAGAAAGATGAGGCTTTCTGCTCTTACAAACACTTACAGCCAGGGTCGCTATGAGTTGAAATAGACTCGATGCCACTTGACTACAACATATATACAATACTCACAAGCATATATATATCTATGCCTATGTTGTTGTTGTGTGCTGTCGAGAGGATTCCAACTCATAGAGTTCCTGTATAGGGTTTCTGAGACTGTAGATATCTACATGAGCAGAAAGCAATATCTTTCTCCTATGGATTGGCTGGTGGGTTTATACCTCCGTCTCCATGGTTAACAGCCCAGTGGCTTACCCACTATGCCACCAGGGCTCTGTGAGTCTTGGCCTATAGGCGCATCTGCATATGAACATATAGACCTTGCTAGTGGCTACGGTTTGGCTGCAAATCTCACTGTCAGCAGTTCAAAACTACCACCTGCTCCTCAGGAGAAAGATGAGGCTTTCTGCTCCCTTAAAGATTTATAGCCTTGGAAACCCTGTACAGGGCTGCTATGAGTTGAAACTGACTCCACAGCACATAACCACCACCATACACATATATGCATATATATCTATATAGTCCCTAACTTATTTTTAGGTTGCTACTGTGGTTGTTTTCAAGTTGTTTATGTTATAGCATCTAACTCTAAGGTCCTTAATCTTGTGTATTTATTACTGTCATGATTTACCTTGTTTTAGTTACTCACACTTCACCCACATTTGACATTGCTTTTCCTATGTTCAAAAATATCAAGTGTCTACAAACTAGAGAGTGATTCTTTCTCCTTCCTCCTTCCATCCCCCATAAACACCAAAGAACACTGATTTCTGTATGTATACCTATTTTTGAATTTTTATAGAATTAGTCACATACAATATTTGTCCTTTTTTGCTTGACTTATTTCATTCAACATAATGTCTGCCAGAGAGTTTTGGGTGTGGCACTGTAGGATAAAGCACTAGATCTCAAGGTTGGTTTGAACCACAAGGTGGGTGGTTTAAACCTACCAGTCGCTTCTCAGAAACCCTACACAGGGTCACTATGAGTCAGAACTGACTGCAGCAGCAGCATCGTCCTCCTAATTACTTTATGTTATGTTATGTTTCATAGACTCAAAATTATTCTTTGTTGTTGCCTTGTATTTAATTGTATATGTGTACTCTAATGTGCTTATCTGTTCATCCATTGATGGACAATTAGGTAGTTTCCCTAGTTTTGCTGTTGTGAATAGTATTGCAGTGAGCAAGGATGTGCATATGTGTATTCATGTCCCTGCTTTTATATCTTTAAGGTATATAGCTAGGAGTGAGATGGTTGGATCATGAGATATCTCTATTTCTAGCTTTTTGAGAAAGTGCAGTGCCATTTCCATCGCAGTTGTGGCATTTTCACAATCCTACTACCAGTGATTAAGGGCTCAATATCCCCACATACTGATCAGCTTTATTTTTGTTCCTGCTTTTTAGATCACTACCACTTTTGTAGGGGTGAGATAGTGTCTTATTATAGTACTGATTTGCATCTTTCTAGTCT